CTCCCCTCCCCTCCCCGCTTTGCATCAGCCTTGGCAGGGGCAGGCTTGACCCCCAGCCTCGCAGAGCAGCGCTTGGGCTCCACCTTTGCTGCCGCATCTGCGATAACCTTCCTCTTGGGCATCCCGGCAGCACTGTGTAGCGGCCACTGTACGAACTGCTGCAGCCTGCCATGGAGGCCGATTCCCACGTTTTATGAAGGTCACACGAAGCAGATAAATGCAAATGCTGTCCATTCCGTACTGTTTTCTCAGTAGAAGAAGCCTCTCAAACTCATTTCTCGGTGTTATGTCAAAAATTTTTTTTTTTCCGGTGGAGATGCAATACATGTCTTTTCACCCCAGATATCCCACAACTGACCAAAATACAGATAACACCGAAGTCCAACTTGGTAAGCCATGAGTTTTACTGGGGCTACATACAGGAGAAGAAATGACTCAAAGACCACTGTATCACCAAAGCTCTCTCTCCCCCCAATGAGTGACTGACTGGTCAAAACAGTGGGAACTTAGAGCACATTTCACAGCCTGCAGGAAGATCACCAGGTAGGAGACTGTCCTTTCCAGGTGCTACAGTAGATCTAAACCTCTTCCAAGCAGCTTGGCTGCTTTCTGCTGCTTCCAGGCAGCTGTTCTGGTCTCAGAGTCTTAGCAGCTTTTCGCCTTTGAAAGTCGTCGCAGTGTAGCTTTTCTGAGTCTTGGCAGTTTGGCTCTTCTGAGAGTCTTCTTTGCAGCCCAGCTTCCTTTTTTCTTAAGCTAGAGTCTGAGCTTTTGTTGTTTTCTCTGGCAGGGGATGGCCAAGTGAATCTGGTCAGTTTCAGAAACTTCCTGAAGGTATTGAGTTATTTACCTTCCTATTTAAAGAGCTTCCCGGAGCTATTTTCAGTCCTTTATCTTCCTGCTTAAGGAGCTTCCTGGAGGATGGAATATTTCGTTCCCCGAGTCCTCAGAGGAAATAGTTGCACAGCTAACACTCAGGAGAATGAGAAGCTTAGAGTGTGTTTTAATAGTTTAAAATTATGATTTGAGACTAGGTCCCTTTTTCAGAGTCCACACTGCTCCATTCCTCCTAAGTTGATTTGTGTGCTGTGGCTCTTCTTACAGTTCTATTTTCAGTATTTCAACGTGTCTGATGTAAAGGAGAGACCTTTTCATCAAAATACTGAATTAAAATACATAGAACAAGACTCAAAATGTATAAATAAGCACAGGACAAAACAGACTATTCAGTGACATATATTTATATTTATATTCTCAGTGTTATGTATCCTCAACTGAAGGGACATGAGGTCAGGATGGAGGGAGACATTCTAGAGCAATTGCCAGCTCATGTGTTCCCTCAACTTTATGACATAACACTAGCCACTGTGGATATCTACTTTAATGTGGGGAGTAATACTCAAAGGACAGAGGTTACACCTGTAGCTAGAGTCCCACAGTCAGGACAAATCTCTGTCACCCGCCAGTCCCACAGCCCCTCAGATCCAACCAAGTAAACACAGAGACTTATATTGCTTACAAACTGTATGGCCGTGGCAGGCTTCTTGCTAACTGTTCTTATAGCTTAAATTAATTCATTTCCAGAAATCTATACCTTGCCACATGGCTGGTGGCTTACCAGCGTCTTCACATGCTGCTGGTCATGGCGGTGGCTGGCAGTGTCTCTCTGCCTCTGCCTTCTGCTTCCCAGAATTCTCCTCTCCTTGTCCCACCTACTTCCTCCCTGGCCACTGGCCAATCAGTGTTTTATTTATTGACCAATCAGAGCAATTTGACATACAGACCATCCCACAGCATACACCCAAATCTAATTCTAATAAAGATAGTAATTTATCAGTTTTCCCTTATAAATCTATAGTTGGATGTTTCCAGTGCTATAGTTTCCCTATCTCATACAATTTATAGAATAGCTACTATTATGGGATACCTGAAGACAGACTGCCTGAGAAGCTTGAATAAGTCAATGATATGGAGCCCTTATTCTCCACCCACTGGGCTGTCTCATACAGAGCAGCACAGAACATCCTGACCTCCAATTTGCATGAGGTTTTCAAGGCAAAAACTGCAGTTATGTGACATAGATAGAAAGCCAGCTGTGGATATCTGCAGCAATCAAATAGACATTGTTGAGAGAAGCAGAAAGATAGCACCTAAGTGGTCAGGGACACATTGTATAGAAATATGTGACCAATGGCCAGTTTTCCCAAGATAATTTTAACATTGGAAGTTTTTCTTAATAGTTTCATGAGATGGTGTAACTATAGTTCAGGAGCCCACTACATTCCTCACTGGTTCTAGGAGAATGAGTCATTATCAACTCCTAGCTTGGAAATTTCATTTTAGGGCCCCTTGTATCTTTAATGTCCTTTTCTTTTGATTGGCTGGGAGGTGGGGATCAAAGGATAAACATTGACCTATAAAAATGAGCATGAAGATACACAGAACAATAAGACAGAAAAAATAAGCACCTGCTTTACCCAGGTAAATTTTGGTAACAATGAAGTGGGCCATTCAGTCAGATCCCAGCCCCCCATCTTGAGTAACCATTTCTGCAAGTTTTTGTAACTGTTTTTTCCCCCAGTAATTCAGTTGTTACTGTCAGAGAGATTAAAACAGCACATTG